TTCAGGTGATCCACAGCTTGTCTTCAGCCTTCAGCGGCCACGAGCTGCAGGCCCCTCCTGTCAAGCCTGCTCCTGCTGGACTCGACGCTGAGTGGTCCTGGCTGTGGCCTCCGTGGCCAGCCGTGCAGCGTGAGCTGCGCTGGCCTTGCTGGTGTCCTCGGTGACCGCTGATCTCGGTGGGTGTGATTCCTCCCTTGTTGTGTCTGAGTGAGAGCCCTGGCCCTGACCATGGCCTCTCTGCCGCCCATCCCGAGCTAGTGAATGCGAGTTCCTGCGTCTCCACCTGTCGTCCCTGGCACCTGTTTGACAGAACTTGGCCAACTTCTTGTTCACTGCGTAACCCAGGCAGCCCATGCCCTGAGTGCCAGTGCTGGGCCGTGCTGCCCTCACCTGGACCTGCTTCCAGGCGGCTGTCAGGCTTCGAAGTCGCCCACTTAGGCAGATGTGTCGGTCTGCTTTCCCTGTGATTAGGTTAGTGAAGTCTTGAGCGTTCTGATAGCGTGGAGAGACCACTTGGCCCCGCTCCTGGAGATGGTTCACGCCTCTGCCTGATGTGTCCGGCACATCTGAGGCCGGAGCAGGACCTTGCCTGCTCTGCCCCAGACCTCCGGCCCGTGAAGGGATCCCGAGTGGTCAGACTGTGCGTTTGGTCTTGGGAGTGTCGCAGAGGCGGGGGGGCTGTGACTGGTGGCACTGCAGTTTGCTCACGCTCTGCAGAGCCCGCCAGCTCCCGCGTGTCCTCTGTGCGCCCAGGCTCCCGAGTCCAGCTTCTCTCTGCTCACTCGTCGCCGTCAGCACCACCGGGTAGGTCTTCGCCGGCTGTTCATTTGCCTCCGTGAACATTTTCTCTCTTTCTGAGTTGGACTGTTCACGCCTAACCTCACCCGACAAGGCCCACGAGCACTTGCCTCAGTGTGTGGGAGCCAGGCCGGTTTCCCGCTGAGCAGCCATGGAGGGCGTTCGGTAACGGCTCCTTCAGATGTGCCGAGAGCAACCCGGGCTGCTGACACTGCCCCTGGCCCCCGCCAGTGCTCTCTGCCCTGCACAGGGCCGCTGACGGCTTTCTCCAGGGCTCTGCTGTGCTGTGTTTCTCAGTGTAGCTGGTGGTGGCCCAGCAGGCTCAAGACCCCCTGCACAGGTGCGGTTACCTGCCGGAACACCTGCCCCCTGCATCTCAGCATGGGGCTGTGTTGCCAAGGTGCAGAGAAGGGGCCATTTCTATCCAAAGCTGCCGCTTTGATAGCAGATTTTACATAAGTCTTTGTTTTCAGTAGTTTTTCATATCCCAGAGGAGATGAGCCCCCTGCAGAGATGCAGGCGGGGGAGTGGAGCGGCCAGAGGGGGAAGATGTGGTGCTGCACCCACAGGGGCCCTTGTGGACCGGGTGCCGCTCTGTGCTGGCCAGGGCTTGCCTGGAGGCTGATTTGTGCTGTGAGGCAGAAAGCAGACATGTCTGTCTGTCCTTGGAAATCGGGGTGTGAACTGGACGGTGTGTGGGGGTGCTGCTCATCCCGGGGTGCCCAGCCCACGCTTCTTGGGGCCTCTCACGCCCTCTCCCCGTACACGCTGCTCGAGGGGAGGGGGGGCTGGGCTGGGGCTTGGAGAACCACGCCGCTCTGCCGGCAGCTGGGGCAGCAGCGCTCTGGGGCTTCCTGGGCCTGCAGGCTGCAGAGTGAGCCCTGGTCCTCCTCGCCTGTGTCCTGCAGTGCATGGTCTCCACGGGCTTGGCTCCCACACACAGGACTGGTGTGTTCATGGATGGAGCCTAGCGTGGGGTCCGTGGGCACTGGGGGATGCTGTAGAAGGGAGTTCTCAGGAGAGGGTGGCTGGGCAGCCGGGCGGCTGTCTGCCGTCTCCGCCTCCTGGCTCCCGGGCAGTCCCTCGTCCGCAGAATCTTCCCTGCCCACCGAGCCCTCCCAGAGACCAAGCCTGGGCTGCCTCGTCTCGGGCCTGACCTCCCCCACTTCCTGTCTGCTTGCCTTCCTACCAGAGCCCCTCACCCCGATCTGTGACACGCATGCCCCCACAGCTCCTCCCCCTGATCTGTGACACGTGTGCCCCCACAGCTCCTCCCCCTGATCTGTGACACGTGTGCCCCCACAGCTCCTCCCCCTGATCTGTGACACGTGTGCCCCCACAGCTCCTCCCCCCGATCTGTGACACACGTGCCCCCACAGCTCCTGCCCCCGATCTGTGACACATGTGCCCCCACAGCCCCTCCCCCTGATCTGTGACACACGTGCCCCCACAGCTCCTCCCCCTGATCTGTGACACGTGTGCCCCCACAGCTCCTCCCCCTGATCTGTGACACGTGTGCCCCCACAGCTCCTCCCCCCGATCTGTGACACACGTGCCCCCACAGCTCCTCCCCCCGATCTGTGACACACGTGCCCCCACAGCTCCTCCCCCTGATCTGTGACACGCGTGCCCCCACAGCTCCTCCCCCCGATCTGTGACACACGTGCCCCCACAGCCCCTCACCCTGATCTGTGACACGCGTGCCCCCACAGCTCCTCCCCCCGATCTGTGACACGCGTGCCCCCACAGCTCCTCCCCCCGATCTGTGACACGTGTGCCCCCATAGCCCCTCACCCCAATCTGTGACACACGTGCCCCCACAGTCCCTCCCCACATCTGTGACACGTGTGCCCCCACAGCTCCTCCTCCTGATCTGTGACACAGTGCTCCCACAGCCCCTCCCCCTGATTGATCTGTGACACGTGTGCTCCCATAGCCCCTCACCCCTGGTCTGTGACACGTGTGTTCCCACAGCCCCTCCCCCATTTGTGACACAGTGCCCCCACAGCCCCTCACCTGGTAGGTGATAGGTGAGGCCGTAGCATAGGACAGGCCCTCGAGGCTCCCTGCGGCCTCCGGGCTGCCGGTTCCCAGGAGTTCCTCTCTTTTGCACTCTGCCTTTGTTGAGTATTAGGTCTTCCTCCAGGAAGCCGCTTCACGCCTTCTGCGTTCTCCACGAGCCAGGAGGCTGAGCCTTCCCCGAGCCCCGAGCCTCTGGGCCTCCTGGCGGTGACTGATGTTTCGGGAATCGCTGTGTGCGCTCTTGGATGAGAGGTGTTTTATTAAGAAAAATTGTTCTGAGGTTTTTCATAGGAAAATAACTGGTTTTACTTCCTGCAAGTGAACATCTGAATGGTATGTGAAGGAATGAAAGAGGAGTGTAAGATTACACTGTGTTTTAATAGCTTATTTTTTAATAAACTGTAAAAAATTTTTGTTCGGTTACACAATGTACATCAAATGGCTCAAACCGACCACAGCCACGTGGGAGCTGCTACTCATGAGCTGCCCTCCACGGGCCACAAATGGGAGAAGCACAGGTCGTAACTGCCCCGAAGGCTGCGTTTCCAGTAAAATGTGAACTAGGCCCTTTCTAATTCCTTCTCAGTTCAGTACAGCTCGGCCGCATTCGTCACGCCTCAGTCATGCCTTTTCGCAAGCGCCGCCTGCTCTGGTCTCCTTGGGGCTGGTGGACACTGTTTGTCCACTGTTGTGATGACCCAAGCATTTGCTCCTGTTTTATACTTTCTCTTCTACTCTTCTACTCTAATGCGTGTTCTTCACTCTCTCTCTTCTTCTGCGCCCTCTGTTAGACCCAACAAACTTTAAAAAGCCCCCTTGCCCTTGGCTGGGCTGACCATCATGCGTCCCTCTGTGCTCTCTGGTTTCTTTTTCCTTCTTTCCTTTTCTTTTTTATTAAAGATGTATTTATTTATTGGAAAGGCAGAGTTACACAGAGAGGGAGGGATAGGCAGAGAGAGGTCGGTTTTCCATCCTTTAGCTCACTCCCCAAATGGCTGCAGTGACCGGGGCTGGGCCGACCTTAAGCCAGGGGCCGGGAGCTTTGTCTGGGCCTCCCACGTAGGGGGGGACCCAAGCACTTGGGCCGTGCTCTGCTGCTTTCCCAGGTCACGCGCAGGGAGCTGGACTGGAAGTGGAGCAGCAGGAACTCAGACTGGCGCCCCCATGGGACGCTGGCGCTGCAGGTGGAGGCGGAGCCTGCTGTGCCGAGGCACGGTCCCCGTTCTCCCGTTCCTGGCTCGGAGATGGGGGCCGCCACGAGGTTGCGCTGCCGTCACCCTCTTCCTTCCCCTTAGGCTGGGTCTGTGTTTTCGTGATTTTATTCCGAGTGCCGGCGACTAGTGGGTGACCCGTCAGCACGTGCTGAACGTCTGCTGGCTGACACACGAGCTGCCGAGCTCTCGTAACCAGCCGAGTGTGGAACCCTCCGTGTGCCAGGCTTCTTGCCTACAGATGGGTGCGACAGGGCTGCGACTTCCCACGTGTGAAGAGGATGAGCAGAGTGCCATGACGGACAGAGCTGAGACCCCCAGGGGTCTGGTTTGTCGCCGTGCTCACTGAGCCTTCGCTTCCTGTCCCCGGGGAGGAGCAGCTGCGGGGTGTCCATGGTGCTTCGTGCGTCCGAACCCACAGTTTAAGGTTCTCGACCAGGGGGAGGGTGAGAGCCGCTGTCGCTTGTGACTGCGTCACGTTTTGGGACAGACGTCGCTATGCGTGGAGTTCTGCCCAGCTCCGCTCGGGGAGACGATTCCGGTCACCAGGCAGTTGTGACAGCAGCCCAGGGAGACTGGCAGGTCAGCCAGGGCTGGGGGCGCCACGCTCCAGGGACACGAGATGCCCCGAGGGCCCGGCTCAGCGCGGCCTGGGTGTGCCCTGACCCTCCGTGCTCTGAGTGCCTTGTGATCCGTGCTTGACGGAAGGGTTTGGGAGCTAACATCCCGGTCCTCTGATCTGTCACTTCTGTAGGCACGGGTGGTGCTGCCTGTAGGGAGGCTCCGCAGGTCGGGAGCTTCCTCACTCGTGGTTCACGTGGGCGCTTCTGAGTCTGACCCTGCGGCTGTTGTGAATGGGAAGAGTGTGTGCTGGTTCTCACTCGGATTCGGATACTGGGACGTGTCGCCGGCATCCTGCTCACTAGGTCAGCCTCAAAGCTGCAGCTGGCGTCCCTGTTCCCCCTGCAGGGGTCATCGTTTGCCGCCCAGCAGTCCCCGGCTTATGATCTCTTCCTGACCACAGCCACTGGCGATGGTGTTCGGCTGTGGGACCTGAGGACCCTGAGGTAGGAACGCAGCTGCGCTGAGGCCTGAAGCTTGATCGCTTTTTTTTTTTTAATTTTAATTTTTAATTTTATTTTTTAAAGATTTATTTATTTATTTATTTGAAAGTCAGAGTTACACAGAGAGAGGAGAGGCGGGTGGGGGGAGAGAGAGAGAGAGAGAGAGAGAGAGAGAGAGAGAGAGAGAGAGAGAGAGTTGGCCACAATGGCCGGAGCTGCGCCGATCTGAAGTCAGGGGCCAGGAACCTCCTCCAGGTCTCCCACGCGGGTGTAGGGGCCCAAGGACTTGGGCCATCTTCTATTGCTTTCCCAGGCCATGGCAGAGAGCTGGATCAGAAGTGGAGCAGCTGGGACTTGAACTGGCACCCATATGGGATGCTGGCACTGCAGGCAGCGGCTTTACCTGCTATGCCACCGTGCCGGCCCCTTGATCTCTTACCACGTGTGGTGAGGTCATGGCTGATCCGCACACACTGAGCATCCAGGCGAGGGGCGATCTACACGGGGGCCAAGCGAGGGGCCGTCCACAGGGGCCAAGTGAGGGGTGGTCTACACGGGGGCCAAGCGAGGGGCTGTCCACAGGGGCCAAGTGAGGGGTGGTCTACACGGGGGCCAAGCGAGGGGCCGTCCACAGGGGCCAAGTGAGGGGTGGTCTACACGGGGGCCAAGCGAGGGGCCGTCCACAGGGGCCAAGTGAGGAGTGGTCTACAAGGGGACCAAGCGAGGGGCTGTCCACATGGACCAAGTGAGGGGCGATCTACATGGGGGCCAAGCGAGGGGCTGTCCACAGGGGCCAAGTGAGGAGTGGTCTACATGGGGACCAAGCGAGGGGCTGTCCACGGGGGCCAAGTGAGGGGTGGTCTACACGGGGGCCAAACGAGGGGCGGTCTACATGGGGGCCAAGTGAGGGGTGGTCTACACGGGGGCCAAGCGAGGGGCTGTCCACGTG